ATGTGATGTAGGACTCAGAAATCCATCATAGCAGGTGTCTAAAAATGTCTGTCTGCCTCCGCAGAGATTATTTGGCTTTTATACAGTTTCAACAAGCAAAGCAAGAGCATAGGTAACAACAGCATCGTTATTGTCTTATTCTCCTTGTCAATCTCTAAGACCATCCCAGCCAGGATATAATCTCACATCACTCAATAGTTCCTGGTAGTGCCTGGTTCTACTAATTAGGTGAGCTCATAGGTAGTTGAGGTAACTGGTTACTAAGGCGCATGGCAGTTTGCTGCTCTTGCCTGTACATAACCTTTGTATAACCTCTACAATGTGAGCTGGGCTGAGAAACGGCATTCAAATGGACCTAAGGAGCATATGTGACTTATGGGTTGGCCATTCCTGTTCTTGAAGATTTATGGTGAATTGTGAGAAAATGTCTCAACTTTTCTTTTGCTTGGACTCTGATTTGTATTCTTTGGAACAAAATGGCAATTGTATTTTCTGGTTCAGTTGAAGAGATACAACATCCACTTAGAAAGAACTAAAAGAGCATGTCTCTTTGGAGATTTTGGTATTGTTGGATTTTGATTTCTGAGTTCTTCTGAGGCCATTATACATGACAAGTCTTGATCCAAGCCCTCCATAAATCAATAGACCAACATGGGTTTTTTTTTTTTTTTTTTGCATGGCTGAGGAAGTGGCAGCTGCCATTATTCACAATAGCCCTTTTTTAGCAGCAGCAAAAGTCAGTGGTCTAACAGTTTCTCATTTCCCTATCATTGCTTATAACAACCGAATGGCCAGCATCTTTCCATAGCTGATTCCTCTACCCATTGTTCTAAGTTATACACACATTTGCAGCTTGACTGGATTCACAAATGCAGCTTTGGATGGGAACTATTATTACCGTAAGAAGGCTATAGAACCACAACAACCAGAAAAAACAAAGGCAGACCCAAGGTTGCTTGAGAAAAAAACAGAGTTTTTAGAAATTGAAGGAAAATTTAGAGAAAAGCAAAACAAAAGGGAAAGCTAAACCTCTGAGAATAGAGAATATACATAACAGAATGTTAGATATCTGTTTGGGGGAGAGAAAAATGGAAGCAGGGAGATGTAGAAATGAAGACAGTTCGTTAAATGAAATCCTGGTTTCAGCTGCCTAAAACATTGATTAAGATGCTATTTATGGACAAATTAATCATTTTTCTCTTGATTGCTGGCTTTATAAGCATGCCATTAAAAGAAGTTACATATGCTTTAATATATATTAAATGCCTTAGCCTGTTGTGGTAATCTGGTAGGAATTTTAGTTTCCAAGAAAAAAGGTACTTTTAAAATTATTGGAATGATAATTGTTTGAAAACTAACAAAAATAAATATAAATAAATTCTGGCACATATTAGAAGTATCCATTTGACAAGACAGAATATAAAAATATGCTAAGTACAAGATCCAAATTTTTATTTGTGTTTGTATGTGTGTCTTAAAATTAAAATCAATCTTGTTAATCCATTTTGGTATAATATTTTACTGACAAATGATTTCACACAGTTGGCTGTCCCTAAGGTAACATATTTGTTATGATCCATGCCACTTTGCAGCCCAATAATTTCAATATAGCGGGCTTACTTTGTTAAGCCGTAAGTAACTCCAAAACCTATGCCTCAACAACTAGGGAAAAAAAACACATTAAAAATCCAAGAAAGTCACCACTAGATACCATTATATATCATGCCTCTGTTTTCATAGTTATCTGAAAAACAATATTGACTTACCTGGAGCAGTGGAAATTTAAGAAGCTTACGATTGTACATATTAGAAAAATTCTTGCCGGGCAAAGAAACATCACAGATGTTACACTCATAGCTTTACAGTAATATAGTCAATTTATAGCAGCATCCTTTTCTAATCACTTTGCTATTGTGTCTGAAGGCAGTTGTGTAGGCAGATTAATAGCCAGGTTTTTCACCAGACAAACAGAAGATAAACCAGTTGATAATGGCCTTTTTTTGCTTGTAGAACAGAGCCTTCTACTGGCCTACTATGACATTGTCTGAACAAGTCAGAGAAATAAAAGGCTTCCATTGGCTTTGCCTTAAACTATGTGGAGCCCTAGAGTTCCATGAGGGTACAGGGATCTAAAGAATGGAATTCTGTGAAGAAATTGTATTTTTGCAATGGAATATCTGTAGCTCGGGTGAAGGATGAGGGTGACGGTTCATTCTCTGAGCTTGTGGGTTGCTCTCTGACTCTCTCTGACTCTCTCTCTCTCTCTCTCTCTCTCTCTCTCTCTCTCTCTCTCTCTCTCTGTGTGTGTGTGTGTGTGTGTGATTCTGCTAGTTCCTGGCAGTCTCCTAGAGAAACAAAGATCATACATACTAGCACTAAAGACATCCACCATGAATGCATAGTAGTAAAATTGTTAGGAGGATCTAATTGAAGCTGCAGTTAGAAGAAGCTGAACAATCTGGTAGACAGGTGAATGTCTTCTTATGCACAGAACACAAGCTATAAATTGTCTTCCCTGCTATCTCTGCTTCAGTTATCTTAGTTTTTTAAAAATACATTTCTTTCATGAGGTCTTTAATTATTAAATTACTGGATATTACATTTTCTGTTTTGCTTCTTTGTTGTAAGCAGAAGGGCAGGGTACAAAAGAAATTGTTGACATCTTCATCATCCAATCTGGATTTGAAAAAAATATATTCAGCAGCAACATGAAATAAATACATAAAAATAAATATCCTTGCACAAGAAACCAGAAACCAGTTTGAGCTGCTGGAAGACAAGGGAATTCAAGGCTTAGTGGAAAATAAATAGACAGATTAGAGAATAGATTATTTGCATCTATCTTCACTTCAAAAAATATAGCACAGATACTAGCACTACAGCTGGTATCTCAGGAGTTGATGGAAATAGTAGTGACATTGTTATTGACAAAGTGAGAACAAACAAACCACCAGGTCCAGATTGGACCCATCGGAGAGTTCTAAATAACTGAAATGTGAAATTGCTTATCTTCTAACAAACAACGATAATCTGTAAGATTGGCCATAATTGGGAAATGGACAATATAAGAGTTTCTTAAAAATGTGCTTTACAGAGGAACTAAACAGCTGCAATCTTTTAATCCATGTGAATTCACAATTAATCAACATTAATCCTAGTACATTATTTAATACAAGATTATGAAGTGTAAAGGGCTAACTGTGCTAAAGAAGAATCAATAGACTTTTGTAACAATAAGCCCTGTCTGATTAGCCTTCTAGAGTTCAGTGAGAATGTTCAAATATGTGGGCCAGATGATCTTGTAGATAACAATAGCATTTAGGCTTCTATGCCACTTTACAGTGCTTTACAACCCTCTATAAGCAGTTTACAGAGTCAGCACATTGCCCCCAACAATCTAGGCCCCCATTTTACCCACTTCAGAAGGACGGAAGGCTGAGTCAACCTTTAGCCAAAGAGATTTGATCTGCCGAACTGCAGCTAGCAGTCAGCTGAAATAGCCTGCAGTACTAGTCTAACCTCTGTGCCACCTCATCTCTTATGATATGATATGATTCACTTCAACTTTAAAAGCTGTTTAACACTGTCTTCACCAAAGCAGTTGTGTGATTAAAAGAAGAAAACATTTTATTAGTGCTCCAATAAGATGGTTACTAGGCTTGATTATTTACATAATACTTACCACATCTGAAGAAATATAGGAAAACTATCATATAGAAAACAATTTGCTTTTTGGAGGAAATTTACTTCTACAGATATATCTTACCTGAGCTGCATTTCCACACAATGCATTGGACAGAATGTCCTTCCTTCCTCCCTCCCTCCCTCCTTCCTTCCTGCAGAATGTTTTAATCTTAGATCATTTAATGAATCTGAATTGTGGGAGAACCCATAAAGTCCAGTTTAAATGGTGAAATCCACCCAGGTGGGTTACCTTTAAAATTTATAGTAGTAAAGGCATTATTTGTGATGGATTTTATGAATGTCTATATATCTCTATGTATCTGATCTGCAGTAACAGCAGCAGTATATTTGATGATGTTACTTACTAGGAAACATGGCTGGAAAAATGCAATTGCATTCATGTGTTGCTTATGAATTGCCCCTAAGTATCTTGATATTTATTGTGGAAGCAAAATGCTACCTATGATATGACTGAACACAACTCCTTTCATTTGAATTTTCCTTTGAATAGATATAGCAGGCCTCGCCTGAGTGAGAATTTCCCATAAATGGAGTATAATTCAGAAGAAATGGGATTTCAAAATTCCCCACCAATTTTGTGGATGGAGAAATCAGTTAGATATTCAGCAAGGAAGGGGTTCTTGACTTGTTTCTCCATGGGCTACTTTGAGAGGTTAATGAAACCTGAGTATTAAATACATCAGCACAATGCATTTAAATGCCTAACATAAAATATAGATATAAATAGGGTGTCTTTAGATTAAGAATGAGTAGTTCTGGCCTAGGATACCAATATTTAGGGGTACCAACACTGAATATATATACCGTGTGTGTGTGTGTGTGTGTGTCTGTGTNGTCTGACAGCTTTTTATATGGAGCTGTCAGACGGATGAACCAATAGCCGCGCGTATGACAGCCTGGCAACTTGCAGACGTGCCTGATTGGTTAAGGTGCGCCTGGCTGCTGCTGAGCTGTCATTCATAAGTCCGAGGACTTACTTAGGCTATAACAGGGAGTAATAACGGTCTTCCTTAGCAATGGACATTTTGGGCTCCGTTATTGTCATAAGTCAAGGATGGCCTGTATTTTGTTGCTGTGGTCAAAATAGGAAGGATCTACCCAGGGTATTGGTCAGCTGGATGAAAATGAATGAAGAAATGGGATACAAAAAGCAGGGCTGTTGATGGGTGAGATGAAAAGGAAGTCCTATGGACATGACAATGACCAGTTTTATAGTGTCAAACTCTACATTTTAGTATACTGGAATTAACTGTGTATTAAACAGTTAACTAATTTTAGACCGCAAGCAGACTTACTCTTTTTTTCTGGCAAGAATCACAAGCAGTCCATGATGACCAACTGGAAAGAAGACAGTCAATAGGCTGCACCACCTGGCTTGAAGAGCGGCGCCATCTGCCTTTGGTCACATTGACGTCAGCTCTATTGAGTTGAAGAGAATCATCCTGTTTGCCACTACATTAATTGAGAGAAAACATACATAAAGTGTACCCATTTATATATTTTATTTTCTTCCCATCGTTCAGGGCCAAGCATTTTGAAGTACCTTCCAATGATAGGGGTTTTGTTTTGCAATTCCCCCTTCAATGAAGGTCAAGCTGCACAACCACACTGAGCACAACAAATGCTGTGCATCACAGCTCCACCACAAGAATGCCAATTATGCTTGCTGATATGATGGAGAAGAATTCACCGACAATGGGTTATCAATTAGATGATCACTTCTCTGGTCACTCATTACTATATTCAAGCTGTTGTACCAGAAGTGAAAATGTGTGAACTATTGGACAAAGTGCCATTTGTATACAACAAAAAAGTAAATGAAATCCAAAGAAGGACAAAGAACGACAAAAGAAAAATTAAAAGATAAAACCAGTCTTGATATTTTCTGTTTATTACTTTCAATTCACAATCAGCCACTGGCTGAACAATTGTGACATCACCCAAGCATAGCTCAACTAGGGTTTATTAACTGTTTAACTCATCCTCTGCATGTTATGCATGGTAAGAACTTTTTCTGAATATACAATATAGAGATGCAGAAATGCTGGCTCAAAAACCAGCTCCACATATGTAGATGGCCTTGGAGAAATTATGCCATTCACCTAAAAAGAAGAATGGCATGATGAAGAAAGTAAATATTACCCCACCTTGATTTTCTTGGCATAAAAGAGGGGAGAGGGAATATATGTCAGGCATTGACGATTCAATTATTATAACCTGCCTTGAAGAGGTAATAGCATTGTTTACTGAAGGTACAGAAAAACTTTATCCCCACAAAGTGGACATAAGTTTTTCAAACAGAGCCGCAGACTCTTGAAAATATAAGCACTATTTTTCTCTCCAAGAACTCAGACAATATAGAGTTCTCCCTGTTTTCTATAAAACAACCCTGTGAAATAGTAGGTTGAGCTGGGAGAATGACTAGACTAGCATCTAGCAAGCTTTTGTGGCCCAAAGTGAAAGTATGTTTTTTCTAATCCTGATCCTAATTATACATCATGATTGTGATATTGATCATTGTGATCATCTTCCTGTCTTGATACTATTCTTATTCTTTTGACTGATCATGAATTTTACCGATACATGGAGAAAACTGTTCATTCAGAGTAGAAGGAAAAAGAGGCAAAGATTTCTTTTGAAACAGAAACAAAATCAGGATCCTGGATTAAAGTGATGGTACTGTTTTGTAGCTGAATAAGATTTGATGGTTGAGAAAATCCCACAAAATCTCTGCCCGATTCTGCTCTTGGTCTTTTTTATAGCATGAGCTCCTTGGTGCGTTCTAAGCTTGGTGGTTTTTTTTGTAGATGTAACATTACCAAACTAGATAATATCATCAGTGCTGGAAGAAATGGGCTTTGCTTTGTCAGTGTAAGTGGGAGTGTTCCTTGATTAGGCTGTTGATTTTTGGCTTGTTGGTCTGTGTTGGTAGTTCCTTGATTGGTGTATTCAGTGGTGGGTTTCTACAGGTTTGGCTGAACCGGTAGTGGTTTGGCAGCCTGGATCATGGAACCGGCAGTGACCCAGGCCTGTCACACCCCTGAACTGGTTCCCTGGGCAGCACCGTTGGTGTTGCCATCTTGTTTTTCAGTTCTGGGCATGCAGAATTTCAATTGCACTGTGCACACATAGTGCACACACAAGCGAACTGGCAGTAATGCCTGCCGGAACCCACCCATGGGCATATTGTTTATTTCTTGATTGGAAGTAATGTTAATCTTGTGTTAATCTTGTTGTTAATTTCTGCTCATCTTGGTGTTGATTGCTGGTGAGGAGGTGTTTTGATCTTTTTGTTCCTTTGGGGTTTTTTGATTGCCTATTTGAGTAATATATAGATATTGTTTATGTAAAGCATGAAGGAAATCAGGATATCCAGGCAGTTCAAATATGTATAAAGATTTAGTCTAAGCTTAAGATTTCTACAAGAACCTGAATGGTCAAGAGAAATTAGTGGGAGTTAAGAATAGAAGAAATTCAAAGTGGGCTGGAAACGCATCATGATTAATGATGCATTTGATCCCTCCCTCGGCCTCAGCCTGGTTCTCTTCTACAGTTTATTTCTATGTGCCTGTTGATGGCCAACTTGTCTGAGGCCTCTAGGAATTCTCTGGAATTTTCAGATTTGACATGGTCTAGGATGCTCATAGTTTCCCAGTTGAAATGATGGTTGAGTTTGTTCCTGCGTTATGAAATTTAGAATTTGTCTTCCGACTTCTAGTTGGTGTTCATAGTGTTTGGTTGGTGTTTTCTAATGTTTATGTCCAATTCTTGTCTCTCTTTTTAAATATTGCTGCAGGTTTTTTCTAAGGAAATGCTAGGATCTTTTTGAAACAAAGAATGCTGGAAATATCATATCTATCTATCTATATCTATATCTATATCTATATCTATATCTATATCTATATCTATATCTATNATTGTTGGGGGCAATATGCTGACTCTGTAAACCGCTTAGAGAGGGCTGAAAGCCCTATGAAGCGGTATATAAGTCTAACTGCTATTGCTATACATACATACATGTACACACACACACACACACACACACATAACACTGTGCAATTTGTTTCAAATACTTAGCATAATTTGAGTTTTGAATACATTGAACATTACTGTTTTTATGTGTAAATGGTCATTGATTCCATTAAGATGTAAAACTATTTGATGAAATAAAATAATAATGCCAATCACTATTTTTCACAATATACAGGAAAGTGTTGCTTAAATAAGGACAAGGACACATCTCTGCTCCTTCCTCCACCAATACTTTGTACTCATATGTATACTACTGAATTGCATCCAACTTAAATTGTTTCACATAGGTACAAAGTTGAAAAATAAATCACTGCCTTTTGCTCCTCTACAAAAATAAGTAGCTTGTCAACCAATTAAGCTAGAACATGTGTCACATCTGCCAGTCCAATATGAGAAGCCTTCAAGAAAACCTGTCAACTGTAATATCACCTGATGGTCTCATGATAACCTTTCCCCTTCATCTTTGTTCAAGCAAGACTAATAATTAAACAAGTTATTTTGGACTCTCGAAGAGCTTGTCTTTTTCCACTCCCATGTTCTAGAAGTTGACAAAGATTTTTCTGATTATGGCTTAACTTCTGATGTGAATACTTTCACTATTAATCATTCCTGCAAGGACAAATATTTAATGAAACGTCTGTGGATCTCCCTGTCAAATGCACACATTAGTAGTTGATAATATAGATAGAAGTAACAACAAAGAAACCCAGGGCTGAGTTTAACAACAAAATGAGTATAGGGTAGTAGCAAATCAGCACCTTATATTTAATTTTTTTTCATGTGTATAGAATATTTTATTATCCTGAATGTATATTAAGTGAAAACTAAGACTGAATAGCTGCAATAGACAAAATGTAAAATTTTATTTTTCATGTTTCCATGCAATATACCTGTTTAATATAATAAAAGTATTTTTCCCAAAACAAACAAACAAAAAACAAAATGTCTCATGTTTTCCCCCAAATAAGACCAGGTCTTATTTTCTTTTAACCCCCGAAGTAAGCACTTGGCCTTATTTTGGGGGAGGTCTTATTATTTTTGAAGTGAAGAAGGCAGCGAGCGTGGTCACCTCATGTCTCCTGCTGTATTGCAATATTTTTGGGGAAGTCTTATTTTCAAGGGAGGGCTTATTTTAGCACATGTGCTCAAAAGTCCTTGGGCTTATTATCCAGGGAGGTCTTATTTTCAGGGAAACAGGGTAGAAATAGAGCATATTAACTAAATGATGTATCTACATTTGATTAAGGGATCTGGGGGAGCTATGAAATGAAATTTCAGGCTTGTCAACTAATGGGGATTATTTAAAAAGAGGTTGTGCAAATATATTGGTTGGAAACTACTACAGTTCTGCCTTCGACTGCTGTGTTTAAATGCCAAAACAAAACACTAGGAGGGAAGAAATCCCTTTTTTGTATCAGAAGGTATGGGCACCCAGGGACACTTATGGCAGAGGTGGGCTGCACTTAACAACTGGGTCACTGGTTGTGAGTGCGCGCACATGCACCTCTTCGGGGCTGAAACGGTTCGCCCGAACCGGCACGACCACTGGTGTGTTGATATGTTCTAATGCAACAATATCACAAAAGAGTAACAAGTGATTGTATTATTACTGATTCACATCCATGATTTGAGCATAAGATAGTGGTGACTGGATTTAACAAATCACACATAGACTTAAGCTAGTCAAGGGGTGAGCAATACATGAGTCTCTGTTGTACTATGTTTCCTACCAACCCTGATTTATGGGCCATGGCATGGAATCACCTGTAAGGGCATACAGTAGCTAAAAGTGTGTTTTGTTTCATGCATGGTTGGAAGTTCAATGAGACTATTTTGGGTGGATTGTGCTCCAGATAAACTGAAGCCAGCAGTGCTTAATTGTTCCATCTTTCAGAGGAACATCCAGTGAGGCTCTATGGGCAAAAGCTTTGCTAGTGCATCTTGCCACTTTTCCCTTCTCTTCCACATGGTCCCCATACCAAATCCTCTAGTACAACTCACCCTCTGCTCAATTTTCCCAATATTTTTGCTGTAGTAATTACAACCTATGATCAGCAGGTTGCAGGGGTGCCATGAAGATTGCCATCTTTCCTACTCCTCTCCTTCAGCTAGGATATCCCAGGAAATATTTTCCTTCTACCTTCTTCTGCATCAATTGGCTGACTTAGTCATGTCCTGGGATGAAAGCTGATGATGCTATTTCACCCTATTCCTTCAGCTGGCTGACCAAAGCTTTTTATCAACATGTCTGAGGGGAGCCTGTGGCCCACAGCTTCCAAGCTGCATTCTGCCCGAGGACCCCTGAAGGTTCAAGGCCATTCAAATTGCTTCAAATTGGATGACATTCTTGTTTTGGTGAATTAGATGGCATCCAGTGGCCTGAATTACTATTACTTTATGGCTATATAACATAAGAATCATATGTGTTCTTTTCAACTGTCTGCATATGCTATGCTCCCTTTGCCCTTTAACCAAATCTGTACTCAATTTTTAGGATCACAAAGTAATCTGTTATTGGCTCAATTTAAGTTACAGAGAGAAGATCCACTGCTAATGCCTCCAAAAGACATACCTTTTGAACCCACCATTTGTTTCAGTTTGCTGATAAAACTATTTTGCACTTGATAGATGGACTGCAAGGGAAACATTATCATGGAGATAAGACTATTTGGAACTGGAGGAAACCTAATTTCCAGATATGTGTTTCACTAATGAGTCTGATAACCTTTTGTCCAGCAGGAGATTTTCACAAGAACACAGTTAATCAGTGAACCACTATAGGATATCTTGTCTTATTTCTCACCATCTCGTGGAAATATAGGAAAGTCATATGATGTATATAATCTCGTTTTTACACAATTCATCTTGCAAACAAAGGGAAAAAAACTACACTTTCACCAAAGAACAAAAAATTGGTACTGCAGTTACTAATCTCACTCAGCACTAATTAAAAGGACCATAATTTCTGTCGACCATATTCAAATCATGTCATTATTCTTAGAATAACTCTGTAGTCACTGATTTTATTTCAATCCATGGATTACATAAAAAGTAAGAGTTGATTATTGAATTGCATTTTTATGAAGTACATGAAAACCATTATGATTGCTTTTTATTAGTGACTGATACATATCTCTTGTCACTTAATATGGTCCAACTCAAGCATCTAGTGAACATAAATGGTTTCCTGAATACCTTTGAGGTTGTCTTGTCAGTGATACTGTTGAAGCCTTCAGTGAACTGTTGAAATTGAAACTGCTTAGGTGGTTAAATGCTATTACTTCTAAATGTTCTTTACTTCAAAGGTAAAATTCTTCAACCCTTACTAAGATCTGGGAGTGATTAAGAAGACAAGGCTGGACAATAGTAGTCCAGGACTATTGTGTCCAACTGTGGTTTCTTGAGAGAGGATATACCAAACCTTCTTCCAGGCTAAAGGGACTACTCCTTCATTCAAAAAATGGACGCAACTGCATCAACCCAATTTCAAGTCATTTCTCGGGCATCTTTAACTATTCAAGAACTTGAAACTAACAATAAATGGTTGATAAAGAAGAGAATTTTGTTACAACAATAAACTCAAGTTGACTTGTGATGAATATTTGCCTTATCAAAATGTTCAAAATGCCCCCCCCTCCATCTATACCATCTCTCTTTGTTTCTTTGTCTATCACTTTCTGGAAGAAAATTCAAGGTGAAAATGGTCATCAGATACACAAGGAATTGGTTATAAACTTCCAATGAAAGCTTTTCAAGAAAGCACATTATGATGTAGCATTATATTTGCAGAGAAAGAAACAGAGATGGCCAGCTTTGCATTCTTCTATTATATTCAACTTTCATAAGAATAAGAGAAAGGAATAAACATGATTTTTAAACATTTTTATTTGCAACAGTACTACATGGTGTCTTACAGAAATCAATGGAAAATCTCTAAAAATTTCTTCTGATGAATGCATTATACATAAGGGGAAAGAAGATGTTCAACAGATGTTAACAAATGGTTTTCCTCTGAGGTAAAGTTAAAGTAGATCTAGAAATGTACTGCAAAACAGTCATTTTCATCTTTCTTTTAAAAAATAAATGTGTGAGAACACAAAATCAAACAAATCAAAGTAGAAAGTAAACATCTTTGCAAAGAAGGTGCCCAGTACATTATTCAATCATAGATTTCATCAGACAATTTAATGACAACAATGAATCAAAATACATTAAGAATGTAAGAATCAAGAAACGATTGGAAACAGGACAGGATGGGATGGTATTCCCTGGTTTAAAGTTTAAAGTGACAAGCTTAGTGCTAGTGATGAACAGATTCCTGTAGATACATTTCCTATCTACAATACTTGTATAGTGCAGGCGTCTACATTGTTTTTCTTCTAGATTATGGTAGAAAGGAATAATCTAATGATGGATAAGTTAAGCATGGGTTGTCTTATTTCAGGAAAAGACTTGCGGTTTGTATAGAGCAAATTTCCTTATGATCTCTTAATACCAGTTGTAATTCTCTCTCTCATATATTTGGAACCCAATAACAACCATCATCAATGAACTGACTGTTAGTCCGCACCATGCTACAATATCTATGGATATTTCGAATTCTGTATGTTTGTGTTTCAATAAAAACTTAGTTTAGCAAGATTTCACTATTGACTATACAATACATCAATATTTCAGGGTTGAAATGTCCTTTTGAATGATGTCATCTTTTTTCGTAGGTAAAAAACAAAGCTAACATTTATATGTTACAAAAGAGATAACTTTTTTGCATTTTTCTTTTGATGTACATTTGCGATAGAGATGCTGACAATGACCACAAAATTGATGAATATTTTGGGCTGGGAAAAGGCTTGTGCAGACCCAGGCCATCTTCACCTTTCACAAATATATAATGATCAAGTTAAAATAAATTGATTTGTGGGTTAGATAAAAACAGGCTGGGGAAAGGGGAAATGAAGAAAAACAAACTGACTTTACAAACATGTTAATTTTTATTTTGGGCACAACTACTTTCTGCTTTAATTGGACTCAAATTATCATTTGTTCCTCTTTCACATCACTAATCATGTTTTGTAAAATCCACATGGAGTCTTTTATTGAAACAAGGTTGCACACCAAAAGAGTACAGAGAGGAAATGACTGGAAAAGTACATTAGATCTGCACCAATATTAAAGCCTATAGTTCGACTGACTGTTCCACACATATTTTGATTCAGTACCTATGTTGAAAAAAACCAGCTGGAAATTTCAAGTTTAGTTTCAATAACACCAAATCACCAGTTTTCATCTACTCTTGTAAAATGCTTTAATAATTCAAATGCATGAAATATAACTCCAGGCCTATATAATCAAAGGAGAAAACACAAGCATATTGGTATTTTGATTTTAAAAACAAAATCTGCATAATCCTTGAAACAAGTCATCATTTGAATTATTTAACTCTTCTTTTTTAGTGCTAAACCACTAAAGTTCAATATATTGTAATCTGCATAGGAACATCAGGAAAACATATTTGACCTGTATAACAATTCTCTGTAGGGCAAAAATATATAGATTCTTTATGCAAATCATGTGCGAAGAATAGAAACCAAACACTGCACTTTTCTTACATAAATATATTAAAAAAAACAGTTTTAAAAAACTTGCTTCTGTGGTGTGTAAACAGCTTCTATTAAATTAGGAAATGGGTATGAAATGTGACTTTTCTCCAAAAAATGTAAAGTATGTGATAAGAGTTGCATTATAAAAGCAAGATTGTATGATTATGGGTTCTCCATCAACCTAGCTAGTTTCAGGCAACAAAATTGTAGTTGGGAAACGCACTTCAGCTTTATCCCACTAACTATAAGCATGTGAAAACAAAACCAAACAAACGTGATACAAGAACCACAAAATGGGGGTTTCCACGCTTCCGAAACACCATCATTTACTACCTTCCCTACAGTGTGATGTCATGGTGAAAAAAAAAAACCTCCTAACGTTTATATTTACAAAACAAAAGAAAACCTGGCAATTTTCATTCGGACTCTTTAAAGCCATTTTCCCTTAAACACTGAAAGAGTTTTAACAGTTAAGATTTTTATTTTTTAAATTTCAAGTTATAAAATAAAAATCCCATTTGAATTTTTTTCCAATGTACAAAAAGTGATAAAGATGGACCATTTGATCGCAGAATAAGTTCATTATTTCAAAATTCATGCCACCTCCATCCTGTTATTATTAAAGTCCAACCCAATCAAATCCAGATGTAGAAGTATTTGGCAAACAGTTTTTTTTCTCTTCAAAAAATGGCACAGAGAGAAGAAAAAAACACTTGTCTGCATAGCTTCACAGCAGCAAGGTATCAAAGAAATAAAAAATATCCTTTACTGATCTTTGTTTTAAGAGTTCCCTAGGAAATAACACAGTTTGTTTTTCCATCAAAAGATCTGATGTCCTTCTCTACTCATAGCAGTAGTATTCAAAACAGAAAAAGCAGCATTTCATCTCTTCTTTGATGTATTGAAAAATCAAAAGGTCCATTTGGCAACATTTTCAATCAAAACTGATGATTGGTGAAATGGGATTCCATGACTTCAAGTTAAGAATTATTTTCACAGGAGACATTCTGCTGCTAGTGTCTGTCACCAGTTTTTAAGTAATGGGGGAGGGGGATGAAACACTTGAATACTTCCTTCATATATGCTGTTGTAGGCTGGTATACTGGGTGAAAATACAGAAGGATCAGTTTGTGATGGCCATAATTTTTTTTACCATATCTTCAAATGTGCAGTTGCGTTGCTCAATAACTGGTGACCAGAATGTGTTTGATTTCTCTGTGTTTCTGTATTATAAAAACAATGAGTTGTCATCTAATAGATTTGGATCACCTACTTTCATTATATGGAGTCCTAGAAACAACAAAAGGTAACAAGAAGAAAAGGTGTTTGGATAGTTCAAAATTGTAGGAATGCAGATGACATTTTCCCCTCCTCCCTAGGAAAGTAGGATTTTGAAAAATAAGGGGGGGAAAAAGCAATGTTCTGCCAAAGAGAGTTGGCAAAACATATTGTGTGTTGAATTAATCCAGTGATATGATTATCCTTGATTAGCTGAGATAACTAAATAATATTAGTAAGAGTAGTAGGAGCCAAAGGCCTGTCAAGACTGGAGTTTTCATTTGAGACTTGAAGTGCCACGAGTGTGGGCCAATGCTATTTCTTAGGTCTTAGGTCTGTTGATCTGGGCATAGAGTGGTTCTCTTTCCTAAAAACAATAGAAAGAAAAAAAAAATGAATAGAGATATTCCTAGTCATTTGAATGTGAACAGTAGACCCACAGAAAAACAGTCAGAGTGGGATATATTAACACACAAACACATACACACACACAATTTGAATTATGATAATATACAAAAAAGATAATTTTAAGAAAAAGAAAACAATAACTCTACACTACTGATATTTGTTAAAAAGTCAGTTGCATATGTAGAAGAAATCGCACTCTTTGGCTATGAAAAAAAGTGATTTGAATGCACAGAAATAAATTGTTTTTCTTCTCTCAGTATAATATTTAACATGTTACACAGTATGATTTCATGCTAACACATTACTGATTTAAAATTATTCCATTCCAATTTTTCCCAGGTTTGCAGTGCAAGCATGATTCATTTATTGAGTTCAGAATGATGTCCAAAACAAGAATGATGCACTAAAAAAAAATTATTTATCTATTTATTTAATTAATATACAGTTGGCACATATACATAACTTTTGGCAGTTAATAATTGAAACAGAGTAAAAAAAAACCAATAAAAACAAAATAAGTATCTCTTAGAATTCCAAAATATAACATAAATTCAAAACGTTAATAATTTTAATTCTAATGTTTCCAAACTATGGTAGACGAAATGCATTACAAATGTTGGCAAATATTGATTATGCAAATGTCAAGCAATGTGAAGACAGTTTAATGAACATGAAAAGCAGCAATATGCAATAATTTGGTAAATTGTTACAATAAACTAAAGTGAGTATCTCATCATCTTTGGAGGTTTAGTGCAGTGCAGAGAACATACTCTAATTCTAGATGTATTAGATTTGAGCTTCCATAATTGCTAGGGCTTTTCTCAGTTTGGAATTATGGAAAAGTCCAATGCATCTAGAAGGTATCAAGATTTCTAATATATGTTACATCAGGTTTTAGTAATTTGTTCATAGAAGCAATGATGATTCTTGAGAGCCTGAAAGATACTCCCAATTTTTTAAACATTATATCTAGCATTTGATTCCCCCCCCCATGCAATTCAAATACATTTTTTGTATAGTTGTACAAATCCCATTTGCTTACTCTTTAAGAATCTCTATTAATGGTAAAATACTACTTCTCATGTTGAGTAAACATGTACTTTGATTTTTAGACTGTAATCGAAACAACCTGTGAGTAGGCAAAAGGGCAGCAAATTTTGCATTTCATACACTTTTTAAAATAAAGGACAAGATACTCTTATTAATCAGATTTTGCTTCATTTAAGTACTCTTCTATTCTTTTCTGGGATAGACTCAATTTTATCCCCTAGAACAAGATTTTAGACAATGATTTAAACTTGAGAGCCCCAGGATAACTTGATTGTGTTCCATGATAGCCAAAACGAAGGAAATGTTCACTTAAACACAGTCAATTTTCTTTTACTAAAATTTTGTCTCTTGATGAGGGGTCTAGAAAATTTTCTTTTTAACTAACAGATTCGATAACTTGAAAATAATTGGAAATCCCTGCCCTGAAACAAAGATTTTGCTATTCTCCTGCCCCCTATAAAAGAACCAATTAATTATTCTCCATGCAAACAGTTCTTGATTCGTAAGAATCAAGTAGGAATTGTCAAATGTTATTGTTCAGAATGTTGATGAAGAATGTTAATATATAGATGGAAATAATATGTTGTAACAGAAGATGCTTCCAGTAGATCAGCATTTTGGAAAATTGTTATTAAATTCAATATAAAAAAATAGGAAATGACACTGTAATTATGTTTTACATTTTTACCAATGTGCAAAATGAAAGTTTTCCATAAGTAAAAATTGTCTTGAAAACCCCCATAATTAGAAAAGCCATATTAATACTAACCAATTTGTTCAGTACATCTGTGTTACTGTAAATGCAGGCTCAGATAAGACACTGGAGGAAAATATTAAAAATATTAAAATATTAATTGTTTTGTTTAATATTAAAATATTAAACAAAACAAACCGATATTATTCCAGAATATCAGTTGATTTTTACATTCAAAATTTAATATTCTTCATAGCTTTTGTATTAAATAAATTTCCTAAAAAATCTCTGCTATTATGATCCTTGCTATTTTCCACTGTCATATCTATTTGGTAGAAATAAGAAGCATGTCATTTTTTTTTCAAATTTTTTGTGTCCGTTCATGTATTCCTAAGATTAAAAGCTCCAAAGGATAATTCAAAACTTTTATATAGGTTGGCTTTCAAACTAGTGAACATATAGCATTCCGTATTATTCTTCTAAGGAAATTTTACTTAAGCAATTTAAAATGATTAATGGATGTAATGTAACTGATCTGCTTATACCACTACTCTATTAAGATAAAGGAGAAATATACTATACAATAGATGGATTTTTCTTCCTAATGTAACAAGAATGGCATAAAAAAAATGTATTATGAATTTAAAGTTTTCCAAAGGATTGTTTGTCCATGCTTATGCAGCATATTTAGTGGAATATTCTCCTTTTGCCTGGCTGATCAAAAAGCTAAAAATAAGCTGAGAAAATAAGTATTCTATTTTCTGATCACCCATGCTGTAGGAAAGCCCTGAATAAATATTTGATAGCAGATAAGGAAGCTCAAGGGAATAGCACTTCCATCCTAAGGGGAAAAAAAGAATATTTTTACACTATTTTTCTAAAGAGCTTGATGCAAGAGAACTGAGAGGCGTGGCAGCCCTTTTCTATGTATTTTTATAGATGCAGAAGTGGGCAATTGGAGAGGTTGAAAAGTCAGAGATATGGAAAATGCACTAGAGCCATTAAAAAAATTAAAACTTTTTGAAGGGAAAAAAGACTGAAAGAATTTTGAAACTTTGGAACAGTATTACTTTTATGATTAACTATATTTGACCAGTACAACTCCTTTAACAGGTTGCTTACAGGACTGAGTAAAGTAAAAGACTAGGTTTGTTCCTAGAGGTGACAAGTCTCCTTTTAATAAGAAAAAAGCAGGTCTAAAATGATAACATCATAGATTTTATCTTTTTTCTTTGTCCAGTAGCAGTTTTAGCAGTAGCTAAATGAGAAAATATTGAGGAGAGAGGCTAATTGTGGCCTTACATTGAAAATCCTGACACAATTTGACACATAAAACATGAAAATGTCCCATGTTATAAAACTCTTGCTCTGGCTTGATGGACAAAAGAAGAAAACAAGGCATATTTTTATTATGGCTATAAAATATGCAGAAATAATTTTAGAAGAAACAAAAAAATATTAAGGACTAAGAAAACCATACAATTGTTTTATAACATTCCATTATATCTCAATTTGAATTAGAAACTGATAATGTTATCCAAGAAGGAGCTCTTGTAATTTCAATGCAGATAAAGTTCCCAGTTTTTGCTTTGAAAAATAAATTAAGGGAAAAAATTCATTTATGAGCAGATTCCAGATTTGGCTATGAGAAGTCTTTAAAAAACATAGCTGTGGATTTCAAGTTGGAAAATCTTTCTTTAAGAAACGTTTCTGTTAAGTAGAGAAGAGTAAAATAATCTATGAACTGAAAATTGATAAAGCGCTCAATTACTAACAATATCCAAAGATTTTAAAGAAATCTTTTTCTAAAGAAAAAAGAATTGAAAAAAAAAGAAATGCTTTTAACATTAAAAGTTCATGAAATCAAGGATTATCAGGTGAAAAAAGAAAGGGTCTAAAAAACATTGCAAACAACAATGTGGAGCAAATCTAAAGCCAAATGGGGAATGATAGTTTATTGTAGAATGTAAATAGATTTGCTGGAATACCATGTCTTATTTTCTTTTGACCCCCAATGTAACCACTTGGCCTTATTTTTGGGAAGGTCTTATTATTTTTGAGCGCTGGAGGTGGGGAGCGATTGTGGGTGCACCTCAGTACACCCACGTTACACCTATCCTCCGCGAGCTGCACTGGCTGCCTATTGGTCTTCGGATATGCTTCAAGGTGCTAGTTGTCACTTATAAAGCCCTTCATGGTATTGGACCTGGGTACTTGAGAGACCGCCTGCTGCCAATTACTTCCAACAGACCGATTAGATCCCACGGATTAGGCCTCCTCCGAATTCTATCCACTGGCCAATGCCGACTGGTGACCACCCGGAGGAGGGCCTTCTCTGTGGCTGCCCCGGCCCTTTGGAACGAACTCCCCGTGGAGATTTGAACCCTCACCACCCTCCAGGCCTTCCGCAAAGCCCTTAAAACTTGGCTGTTCCGACAGGCCTGGGGCTAATGAGCTTTTGTCCCCCCTCGAATGGTATGGTTGTTGTGTGTTTTAAATTGTAGTATTGTTTTGTTTGTGTTCTTTTTTTCCTTATTTGTACCCCCCCCCCTTGACTTGGGTTGTGAGCCGACCTGAGTCCCCTTCAGGGAAAAGGGCGGCATAGAAATATAATAAATTCAAAATTCAATTCAAATTCAATCTCATGGCTGCTGTTGTGTTGCAATATTTTTGGGGAGGGCTTATTTTTGGGGGAAGGCTTATTTTATAGTGCATGCACTCAAAAGCCCTAGGAGCCTGGGGAGAGCGAAAACAGCTTCCCCCCCAGAGGCCTCAGGAACTTCCCTGAAGCCTCCAGAGGGCAAAAAACAGATGGACAAACCGAACGTTCGGGAATTGTGACTTCCTGTTTGTCTGTAGGGCCAATTTTTGACCTCTGGAGACTTTCTGAAGGCTCCGGAGAGCAAAAACTGCTCCTACGAGAAAACCGGAAGTGACTTCTGGTTTGTCCGTATGTCAGTTTTTCGCCCTCCGGAGCCTTCAGAGAAGCCTCTTGAAGGATCAGGAGGTCGAAAATTGGCCCTATGGACAAACCAGAAGTCACCATTCCTGAACTTCCTGGTTCCCTGTAAGTCTGTTTTTTCCCCTCCGGAGGCTTCAGGGAACCTCCTGAGGCCTCCGGGGGAAGGGGGAAGAGGCTGTTTTTATAGTGCATGCACTCAAAAGCCCGATTGGGCTTATTATCCGGGGGGTCTTATTTTGGGAAAAACAGGGTAGTTTGATCTAGAGTACCCGTTCATGAAAAGATATTTCTTCCCTATACAGAAGGAATCAGGATCCAATAGATGTGAAGAAGTATTTCTTCCCATATTACATATAAGCAATACAGGAAGAAGTATTTCTTCTTGTATTCCTCCCTGTATTAAGGAAGCCTGGCTAGGTGACTCAGTGGTTAAGACACTGAGCTTGTTGATCAGAAAGGTCAGCAGTTAGAATCATTAGAACAGGTCTCCTGGGTGAGCAGGGAGTTGAACTAGATGACCTCCAAGGTCCCTTCCAACTTTGTTAATGTTAAAAGGAAGAAACACTTCCCTGATATCCCTAATCACTCTCTTATTATCCATAAAAATCCAAACTTCCAAGCAAGATCTTTATTGGAGGCTGTAAGTAGAAGGCAGCACATTGCTTTCATAATTTCACTAGTAGAAAAATCCTGACAGTGGGAATCCACTCACAAGAATGTAAAGCATTTCTGTCCTCCAAATTTACAGATTTAATATTAAAGAAAGAAAGAAAAACCCTTTCAAAATAGATTTCTCCACTGAGATTATTTCAGAATGGAAAGACTAACAATTCCTCTTCCACATTCACAGGCCAGAATTAAAAATAGCAAAAGAAAGCTTTGCTCATGGCTTTTAAGGATATTTTTGTCTATGAATGTTATTATAATGTTTAGCGAGAGAGAGAGAGAAAATGGTAATAGTTTAGATAGTTCAATAGTGGACAAATTTAAAATCAGTCATGCCATGGTAGATAAAAATAAATTAGTTCACCTGCTTGATCTCTTTGAAAATTTATAGCAAAGTAAAGCTAGTCATTGTTGGCATTGGCACTGTACTATTTAAAAACAGAGAAAAGTGATCAGCTGGCAGGGTTATTAATGACTGAGCAAAGCAATAAAAATGGGATAAAATGTTTCAGATGTGGTTGCATTTTTATCAATTGCATCAGAACAATTAAATACAAGTTGACTGGAATTATTGCTATTTTTCCTCCCCCCTCCCCCTCCTGTCCATCCTGAATGGCTGTTGTCTTTAATAAATAAAGTTCAAGGCTAAAGTTCAAGAATATGCTGATCAGGATCACCTAGTGTGATTGGTGAAACACATTAGCAATAACCCCACCCCACATTCTTAAGTCTGGAATCACTATACTTTATGCACTAAAAATAATTCCTTTATTTTTACAGATTTGCTTCAGATGTTTTATACAGAGAGATGAATAGTAAATCATACCACGTTTAATCTTGTTCAATTCACCATATATGAAGTATATATATTGTATTTAATATGGCAATAGCAGAACTGAAATTAGATGGGTATGTTCAGAACTCACAAGCACTGCACCTTTACAATCATTCAGACAAAACACATGCCAGGATAAAAATAGCCACAGTCAGTTTAAAAAAAGTTTATCAACATGCAAAGTGAGCCATTAATGATTACAACAACATGTCACCTTAAATTTGGTAATGAAAAATGTATAATTAAACAATAGTTGGGAATGATAGCAGGACTGCTGCATGAATTAATAATCTATATCAATAATTTTGAATCAAACTGTTAGTAAATTTTTAAGAGATTATTGATAAGCTATGGAGTGGAAAGGCATATTTCAATTTTGATTATGTTATTTTAGCCAACAGTTGATAAATGTATAGAATATTTATAACTCATCATGAATACCAGAAATTGGAGATTGACACTAACAAATACATGATTTCCTCTCTGGTTAATGGTCACAATCTCCAGTTTCACTTTAATACACATTTCCCTTTCTATTATACTGTAATTTCAAAAGTCAGTATTTTGACATCACCTGCAAATGGAATTATGGTGTGAGAAGTAATGAAGTGAAAAAAAAATTGAAATTCTGCACACATAGCATCCAAGAAAATGATGGCAGGCAATAGTGAAAGGGAATGGCTGAAAAGTAAGTGAGTGAAAGAGACAGAGAGAAGGACAGATACCTACCCCAACCTGCGCTATCTAGCTATCGCCCTGTGGACTTACAGTATCACCAATAGGTTCACCAAATGGATCACTGTTGGATGAGGCCTGAGATCCATCAGGCTAGAATATAAGAACATAACACCTTTTTTTTTCAACAGCAGAAAGGAAAACAAGATTATTTTCATGCCATCAATGCATTTCGTCAAAGTTTACCCACTGTGGTTTGAAAGTTCAAAATGAATTGAATACCCATGACCTTTATTTTATGGGATTATTCAGTCCTCATGATTGTATTGCTAGGAAAATGTGCACTATTCTTTTAGGACTGGACGGGGAAACCTATCACAGCCCTAGAGAATCAGAATCATGATCTAAAGTTCCAACAGGGAAATCCCTCCCCAAATCTAGAAAGTCAATGGGAATTATTTGAAAAAATGTTTAAAAATAAGATACTTCTAAAAAAAAAAGAAAAAAAACCCTGCCACCGTGAATATAAAACCAATTTATAAGTAAGATTTTAGTTCAGTCCATGTTTGTGGCTAACACTAGTGAAGTAAAACCACTCAAGGCAGATGGCTATTAAGGGAAATTTAATTTGCAGACATAAAAACAATTCTTTCAAGAAATGGATTTTTTAACAAGTCATTCTGTCATTTTGTTATTCTGATTTATTACATTATTTTATATAAACATAATATATATTTTTAAATTATCTTCCATTTTTGTGCCATTTTATGATGTTAAACTTGTTTGTAATTATATGTACCCGCTTTTCCTAAGCATTACCCTTTTTAACTTTTAATGCATTCTTATTGAATGCAAATTAAGTATGGCTTCCAACTAATTCCTTTCCTTGTTCAAGCCAGGAGGAGGAGTATTAAGAGAAGTATTAAGAGAGTATTAAGCCATACTGAGGTCACCCAAAACTTTCTCTGTGCAACTGAAATACTTCATTTTGCATTCAAATCCTACCTCCTTTTCTATTTAAGAAAACTGTGATAAGGTCTAGGTCCATGATGGTGAACCTATGGCATGCGTGTCCACAGGTGGCACGCAAAGCCATTTGCCAGGGCACTTGAGGGGTTGCCCTGTCAGCTGGTCAGTACGCGCTGGCCAGCTAACTTCAGCATTCTTTTGAGGCCTCCAAAGCACGAAAAACCAGCCCTATGGGCAAACGGGAAGTTCAGGAACAGACTTCCAGTTTGCTCGTAGGACCATTTTTCGCCCTCCAGAGCTTTCAGGAGGCTTCCCTGAAGGCTCCAGAGGATGAAAAATGGCCCTACGGACAAACTGGAAGTCTGGTTTGCTTGTAGGACCATTTTTCACCCTCTGGAGCCTTCATGGAATCCTCCTGAAGGCTCCGGAGGTGGAAAATCGGCCCTACGGACAAACCAAAAGTCAATTCCCAAAAACACCCCCCCTCCACTTTTGCCGCAGTTTTTTCGCCTTCCCCAGGCTCCAGAGGCTTTCTAGGAGCCTGGGGAGAGTGAAAACAACCTCCCCCCTGGAGGCCTCAGAAGCTTCCCTGAAGCCTCCAGAGGGCAAAAAAGGGATCTATGGACAAACCGGAAGTTTGGGAATTGTGACTTCCTGTTTGTCTGTAGGGCCGGTTTTCGACCTCCGGAGCCTTCAGGAACCTTCAAAGACTTCCCGAAGGCTCCGGAGAACAAGAACCGCTCCTACGGACAAACCGGAAGTTTGGGAATTGTGACTTCCTGTTTGTCTGTAGGTCCGTTTTTCATCCTCCGGAGCCTTCAGGAGGTCGAAAACTGGCCCTACAGACAAACCAGAAGTCACAATTCCCAAACTTCCGGTTTATCTGTAGGTCTGTTTTTTGCCCTCTGGAGGCTTCAGAGAAGCTCCTGAGGCCTCCAGGGGAGGCTGTTTTCACCCTCCCCAGGCTCCTAGAAAGCCTCTGGAGCCTGGGGAAGGCAAAAAAAAACACGGCAAAAGTGTTGATCTTATGCATGCGCGTGCTGGGGGGGTGTTGCGCACACAGCATTATGGATGTGGCATGCCGGTGCCCACACCCCTGTGCTCCTCCCACTTTTGGCATGGCAGCCAAAAAAGGTTTGCCATCACTGGTCTAGGTAGTGGTGTGGATTTTAAGTTTGGCTCAATAGACAGAGCTGACAGATAATCTGGATTGCAGAACAAAGGAAGATACAAAAAAATGACAGCAGTTTGATGATGAGAAAGGTATACGATTTTTGCTGCTGACCAGTGGTCACCCAGATTTATGCAACCCATATCTCATAGCCCAACTTAGACAATAGTGAACTTAAAATGTCACCATACTTTTAAGTGGAAGGGCACAATGTTTTGCATACTTTTTCAGTTACCTATGCCTTTTTTGCCCTTACAGTGGTATCTCAGTACTCGACTGCTTAAAAATTTGTTGAATTTGGTGCTCAATGTATCTTGAGGTAAAAATGTTGTCCCAGTATTCACTGTTTGTTTGGTACACTGTGAAAGGAAGGGGTGGATGGCCATGGACAATGGACAGGAAGTCACCCATGTCAGGAAGATTGTTGAAAAAGCAAGCAAGCAAGGGATAGCTGTAGAGGATGGATAGAAAATTGGCCATGCTGAAAGTTCGCTGACATAGGAAAAAGGACAGACAGGAATTCCTTCCTGGTTGGAAAATGGGTCATGTGGTAAGTCATGGTTTGTTTGGTACTTGTTTTTAGTATCCATCACACCTCCTAGAACCAATTAATGATGAGTACTGAGGTAGCACTGTATATCTTGTTGTTTTTACCAGCTAAGACCCATAAATTTAAAGGGACTCTATATCCTTTCGTATTAACCTCTTTCTATACTTCTTGAATCTTATCTCTTTTAAGAGGTAGCAAGAGAACTGAAACAAGAAGGTCCAATTTAGTAGAAACCAATAAAAAGAAGAAATACCCCAATAAACTGTATAAACTGACATTTTGTAGATGTAAATGACAAGCTATGGTGCATTGACTTCAGTTTTAATTCTTCTGTAATATGCACACCACTCTGCCTTATTAGTACACATCAGGGCTGATCAGAAAGCTATACACCATACTCCACAAATGTTATTAGTGGTGAATAACCAAGAGAATAGCAAAAGAACTTTAAGTGGCAGTGGGAGGAGAGGGAAAGGAAGTTGGAAGGTTAAACAATTTCTCTGAACTTAAACATGCATATTTCTCTTAAAATTTAAAAGTACAAATCTGTGAATTATGTTAACAGTTCAGCCAAAATAAATGAGTGAATATATCAATAAAGGGGAATTGGGTTACTTACTGCTTCTTGCTCTTCACTTTTGCTTGGACTTTCGAAGCCCTCTTCAAAGAGGTCATCAGCAGCAGCGTCACTGGTATGAGATGCTGAGGATTTAGATGGAGAACTCTGTCTAGGAGCAGGAGTTGGGGCTAACAAAACCAATCAATCAAATAAATAACAAAAATTAGTGCTCGTGGATTCTAAATGCTGTTTGGTAACCTCTTGAACTGTTATAAGAAAAATGGAGTGATCTGTGAACTTGGGTGATGCTGTGTGATGAAACACATGTGGCTATGACAAGTTGGCTTAATTAAAAGTTAAGATGCTGCTTAATAAAGTGCTTAGAGACCACTTGCTTAAATCCTTTAAAACAAATAGGATTGAAAATATGATTTTAATTTTATTGCTTCAACAAAAATCATACGTTTCATCCTTCATTTGATAAGTCCGTTGATAAAGAACTGACAGTATAGGGGGAGGGAGGGAAGCACACCAGGTTGCTGCACACCCAGTTTAATTCTAACATGTTTTAAAAGTACAATGTATATTAATTTAGTATTTACAGTCTTCTTTACATCATCAATATTACTGCTATTGTTGCTGATACCAACACTGTGTCAACTCTGAATCAAACCTGGCTGAAGCCATCTTTTCCTGCTTCATAGCTGCCACATACTAAGTGGGGAAGATGCGGGGGACATACCTAAGCAGGGAGGATGAGGGGGACATACCTAAGTTGCTTTGCAGACAAAACAAAACCCTCTGCTGTGGGAACCAAGATCATTCCAACAGATGGCAGTTGAATAGGAGTGACCAAGGAGTCCGCCAACTGCTCCCATTGGACAATGTGGGACATTTGGGAAGGGAAACTTTCACTCTTTTAATTATACTGTTGCCACAGGAAATTTTCAGTTGGTTTTCACTAGCTGTGCTGATATGTGTCCAATAAACACGTTCTTTGAGGAAATTTCCTGCCTTGGAGTTCTGATTTCTTTGGATGCTGACACACTGATTGGGATATCTTGATAATTAGGGTAACGTTACACAACTATATATCACTACCCTTAGTACAATACAATAGCAGAGTTGGAAGGGACCTTGGAGGTCTTCTAGTCCAACCCCCTGCCTAGGCAGGAAACCCTATACCGTTTCAGACAAATGGCTATCCAACATCTTCTTAAAGACTTCCAGTGTTGGGGCATTCACAACTTCTGGAGGCAAGCTGTTCCACTGATTAATTGTTCTAACTCTCAGGAAATTTCTCCTCAGTTCTAAGTTGCTTAGAGAGATGATGTGGTGCTGGCTGTGTGCCTGGAAGCTGTAAGGGTCTGGATGGAGAAGGTACTGGCTTCAATGAATCCTGGCAAGATGGAGTAGCTTTGGGTTTATGTACCCCAGGCCCAGAGATTCATGATTCCTGCTAATGCAGTTGGTGGCTAGGCGGATCTTTTGATAGATTTGTCTGGTATTCTAATTATACCCTTTCCTGGACTGTGAATCTTTGCTCATGATAATTCCTGCCTTAGTCACTTTCCATTTGGATTACTTCAATGCATTCTACATGGGGCTACCTTTGGAGGCCACCTGGAAGCTACAACCAGTCCAGAATGGAGCAGCAGACACAGTGATGGGTGCCCCTAGATTTACCCACATAACATCTTTGTTGTGCAAACTGCACAGGCTATCAGTTTTCTTCTGGAAGGTGTTAGTCATTTTTAAAGCCTAAGATCAGATTTTCTGCATGATCACCTCTCCCTAAGGACATCTACCCATCTTACCAGATCAGATAGTATGGGCACACTCCTGGTCCCTTCCCTTAAACATTGCCACCTTATGGGAGTTAGGAAGTATGCTTTTCCATACCTATGGAATATGGAAATACACTATGGAACATTCTTCAACCTGAGGTATCCTCCCAAACATCTGAAAAGCATTGAAAACCTGGATTTTCACAAAGCACTGAGATAGATTGAGGCAAGTGAGAGGATTTTATAAAGAACCGTGTGTCAGAAACGTAACTTTGGTCCAGGAGTTTGATATTCATGGTTTTAATATATTTATGTGTTACATCAGTTTATTATTGATATTGTTTTAATTGGTAATTGGAAGAGTTTTATATATGACAGCCATATGAGTATTTGAAATAATTAAATAATATTGTGAAAGAAATCAAATCTAAAATCAACAATATTGCTTTTAACTATTTTGATAGGCAACTTTGGCAAGAGATGTTCAAGGTACGCACAGCACAGCATGGATATCACTTTTTTTCCCACCTGCAATTCATCATCCATGGATTGATTTTACATAAAATGTTTTTGCAGTAATGTCATCACAATAATCAAGTAAGGCTGGAGATTCGAAATTCAAAAGCAACAAGTTATCACTATATCAAGGATAGCTACTATTGGAATAAAAAAAAAGTACTGAATTGCTACTGAATACAAATCTAGTTCTGGTTCTTATGCCTATTTAAGATAGAATTACATTGTTATTCAAACTGAAATTCATGAAAGCAGAATGTACAAATTTCCATAAATCTGACACGGTTATTTGAAATTCAAGTTTTCCCACTTTCAAACAGAATGCATATGGCTTAGAAAAGAGAAACAAGGCTACAGCAGAAACACTGAGATACTCACGTGAATTTGTTGATGGTGTTGTAGACGTCACAGGAGTCAGATTTAACTGAGAGATATCAAAGTCATCACAATCATCTGCTTCCTGTGCCATTCCAACTTTGTTAAAATAACTGGAGAAGGCCTCTGAGGTACAACTGAGGGAAGGCTGATCTGGTTTTCGTGATGGTACTGGAGGTGCCTGAGCCATCTGGAAATCTTTAAACATTTCTTTTCCAGCTTGCTGCCTTGGGCTATCTGTCTGTGGACTTGATCTGGTGGAATCACTGGTAGGTGGAACAGTAGCAGTGGGAACAATGGTACCTTGAAACATGGCTGCTTGTAAAGGCAAAACAGTTTGTGTTGGCATGAAGGCAGCGGACTGAAACTGACCAGCTACAGATGGCCATGGTTGCTGGGTGGGAGGAAACATCCCAGGTTGTCCCCATGCAATTGACTGTCCTCCTTGCATCACCTGAGCAACTGGAGGCTGAGCACCCATGGCCAGTTGTTGTTGAACAAGGGGTTGCTGTCCCCAGAAGGAAGGCAGGACAGCTCCCATTGCAACATAACCTTCGGAAAGAAAAGAGAATGGGCAGTGAGGACAATTGCAGATCAGGAATGGCAAAAATAGACCAATGGAAACAAAACACAAATTGACCAGATACCCCTTGAGCAGTTGACTTCATGTGCTTCAAAGATATACTACTACTAGACTGATGATCAAAATTAGAAGAAGGATCAAATTGAGAAGCTATGACTAGGCTAGTACAAAACTTTATTGCTCTTAACAAGACTGTATTTCCTATAACAGGACAAGAGTGACCCAATTATGTATATTTTCATGAGTATCTCTGTGATCAGAATTTCTCTCGTTCAGAGTACTTGGGATACTCACTCACTTCCCATCTCAATTATCCATCCTGGCACAGATCATAGCAACTTGCACTGTGCTTGCAATGCTTGTAGCTTGATGTTCAATTATAAGCAATTCAAAAGCTTACTTTATTCTTTTGTTTTTAATAAGTTGGTTAATTGACAACATTCCTTTATCTGTTACATATTCATCATAGCTCCTAACTAGGAGAAAAGGGGCTTTCCAAGTTGTTCCTAATCTCCTTTTTAAAAGAAACAAACTTGCTTACTTCCTCTTTTATTTTTGACACTATTCCATCACACAACAAGTAATTTTGACCCTGAAAAGACTTAGCCAGTTGGTGCTGGTTTATGCAAGAAACTAGTTCCATATACTGTTTGGAAAAATGACAACTATACATCCAGGTATGTATTCATATAAGCTGCAAGAAAGCAATATTTTTAGAGGGGGGGTGGGAGATGGAGATAATCTTATGGCAGAATTATATTTTTCCAAACTGTGGGTATAAGTGCACATATACCAGTTTCCATACTATGTGGAATTGCATTCCTCACCCACCAACTTGCTTTGGAATGGATGGAACTTGGCATTTGCAAGAAAGATGCAACAAAAATTTTTCAGTCATGTTTATTTTAATGCCCATGGGGCTCATGAGTCCAGATTGAAAAGATCAACAGTTTGTTAGAATATAGGATATTTCTGAAAGGTCTATGGGTATAGTCTGTAGGCTTGGAACCTAATGCTTTTTTTGTCTTTATTCTACAATGGACAGAAAAGAGTTTAGTAAAGGGACATATTAACAATGTCAGTAGAACAAATGTTATTTATAGAAAAAAGGGAACAATTTAGTAGGTCAAGCCATTTGTTGAAGGTAAGACTTCCTTAAAACCAACCGCTGCATCTGTGAAGCTAGAAGAATTCTATTGGAGCAACATAAAAATCGTCGGCTATGCTACCGCCTGCCATGCTCATAAGTTCATCGAAGCCTGGCACTCTACAAGCAATCCCATCAACAGACACATTGACCTACAACCCCTCATAACCCCTCAGAATCCAAATCAACTGCACAGCCAACCAGAGACAGCACCCACCCTCAACCAAACCACGCAACCCTCCCCATCAGCACTTCACCTCCCAATGACCCGGACCTGATATAACCTCCTTACCACAACCCTCACTTGACATACCCACATCAACTAAAGATGTTACCTAACCTGGTAACAAAATGTTCGGAAACCAACCCACAAGCTCAGAGAACGAACCTTCACCCTCATCCTATACCCGAGGTACAGATATTCGCCACTATTGCTAGAAGAGTTAGTACTTCAAGGATTTCTTAACTTTGATATTACTTTTTCATTATGAGTTAAAATTAGCTAAAATTGATATTACTCTGAATCACAAAGCTATGGGAATTTGTTCAAAGTTTAAGTCTTAAGAAGAAGTGATTGACTACTCACTAGGCCTGACGAGATGGCTAAGACACTGAGCTTGTCGATCAGAAAGGTCAGCAGTTTGGCAGTTAAAATCCCTAATACAGGTCTCCTGCATGAGCAGGAGTTTGGACTAGATGACCTCCAAGGTCCCTTCCAACTCTGTTTCTGTTACCACAGATAGCCTTGGAAGGACAGGCCTGAGAAGCTATAGTAAAACCCATGTGAGCATTTATAATTACAACTAATGAAAACTGCTGTCAGTTTAAAACCAACCAAATTTCTCTGGAGAACCGGTAGTTCAGAGAACCAGCAAATACCACCTCTAACTGGCCTCGCCCCCACCTATTCTCTGTCTCCTGAGTCCCAGCTGATCAGGAGGGAATTGGGATTTTGCAGGAACCTTCCCCTGGAGTGGGCAGGGAATAGAGATTTTACAGTATACTTCCCCTGCCATGCCCACCAAGCCATGTCCAAGCCACGCCCACAGAACCGATAGTAAAACATTTTGAATTCCACCACTGATTTGAATCTTTATTAGGTGGTGATTATCAGGGTTATCTTCCTTTTAGATAAATAGTCCTACCTTTTTACTTTCAAGCAACCCTGTAAAGTTGGTCTACTTGAGAAACAGCAACTGATTCAATATCATCCGGATAAAGAGGGACTAGAGCCAAGCATCCTGGATTATATTCCAGTATTTAAGTCATAGATATTCAGCCTTTTTTTTTTTTTGATAAAAGCATTGTTTTTGACTATGTTGTAATTATTAATTGCCACAATCCAAGTAAATTCTAATGTTTTTGCATAGGAGTGTTTCAGAATTTTGCTTTTAAAGTATGAGCTATGTACACCTTAAAATATGCATACTTTATGCATAAAAGTGAAATTATACCTTGACCTAGCAGTGGGACAGTGGCAACTGTTTCAGAATTCAAAAATAGCAGGAAACAAATAAATTTAACATCTGTAAACCTTTTTGAGCTTCAAAAGTGGGACACAATATTAACAAAATTTGCATTTTGGTCTCTGAAGAGTACTGAACAATAGTTTTCATCCTTTAGTGCTACTGACTCTTCAAAGAAAAAGAAATAATCTTAAGGATCAAACAGTCTTCTAATAATTAAGAGAATTTGATTATAAAATCAAATTCTCAAGGGTTCACCCAAATTTGCAAAATAAGAATGATTGAAACAAAAATTGGCTGAGATGAGGTGAACATTCTGCCTGGGATGTTAGGTCTGTAATGGGTCATACGTTACAGATATATGTGAGCAAAGACGTATGAATCAGTACCTAATTAGTAAAATTACAAATCATACAAGAGCTGTCTAGGGCTTCCAATGTTTTGATGTGTAACACAACAACATCCCTTAGTCCCAGATTGAGCTTCAAATTTCCAGTTAAAGAGCTTGATGGAAAAGATTTACCTGAGGGTACAGCAGCAGTGCTGTAAGGTACAGAACTAAATACCTCTGTACCAGCAGGAAGTGACTGGGATGAAGATGGGATAAAGGCATCACCTGGAGTTGCAGGGGTCTATAAAACAAGAAACAATTAAAATGCCTTGATAAACTGTCACAGGTCATATTTCATGTGCTGCTTTCATTGCCAAGAACTAGTTCCATATCCTTTCCCTAATTAAAAGAGCTAGTGCATGAACGAGAAAAGCCAACAGTGGATGATGGTTGGGAGTAGTAGAAAAGAAAGGAGATAAATGTGAACAAGTAACCAGGAAAGCTACCTAACATTAGAAACAGGGTGAGAAATAGTATCACCAAATTTTCATAAAATTTGTAGATATTTGGCAAAATCTGAAAGTGTTCTTTTGCAAAGTGTTCTTCTAAAATATATGCAAATTCTTTCAGCACCTGTTTCTTCATAAAAGTCCAAAGCTGTGTAATTTTAGTAACTTCACCGGGGATTAGCATAAGTAATTAGGGTTTTAAAAGTAAGATAATTAGCAATGCTATAGAGGAAGAAATTCAAACTGGGTAATATGACTGTAACCCTTTTTGGAATTTTGTCAAATTCAGCCTTCAGTCTTTCTCATGAATATCAAAATGTGTTATATATTGATATTATAAAAATGTTTACATCGGCATGCAACAAATAACCCAGCAATTTTAACAGCAATACTTACAGGGGGAGAGGTTATATCAGGAGGAGTGGACATATCCCCAAACAGCTCTAGTTGGGGAACAGCCTGTAAATAATTTCAAAATAAGACAGAATTAGCCATATTTTTATAATCCATGGAAGAGGGAGAACAAGTTCAATTTGCCAACATTATCTATTGTAAAGTAAATTATTTAGGTACTGATTGCCAGTTTTTGGGTACTAGGGGAACACACTAAAAAAATTACGCCGTATTTTACATTTAATTTTTAGTATCTTTTTTCATAGGAATACTTTTTGGGGGTTTTTTGTAGGGAAGGGATTTTCTATTCACCCAGTATAGAAATATTAATTTGACTTCTGTACAGGTAATTTTCAACTTACAGCCACCACGGAACCCAAAATCTTAGTCTGTTGCTAAGTGAGATATTTGTTAAGTGAATTTTGTCTCATTTTACAACCTTACTTGCCACAATTAAGTGAATCACTGCTGTTGTTAAAGTTAGTAGCATAGTTATTAAGTGAAACTGGCTTCCACATTGACTTTGCTTGTCAGAACATAGAGAGAAGCTTCCTTGTGAAGCTTTGCACTATCACTTATGCATTGATTTCTGCTCATCCTCTGTACTGGTATATCTTACTTTTTTACTGTTTGAAACAGTTCATTCCATTATCAAAATATTGTCTTATATCCTATTTTGAGCCACTGAAAATAGGAATATTAATATTACAAACTAAATAAGCAAACAAATAAATAAAACCAACAGTAAACATAGATGGCCTTCTGTTCAACTCCAATAAAACAATTTGAAATCAGTGTAAATAAAAATGACATTTAATCACATATCCAGAAGAGATATGAAAGTAATAATATCTATAATTTGATTGAAAAGCACTGGATTAGTCTTCAGAAACACCACCAATGAAAGATATTTAATTTTGTCCCTTTGAAAGGAAATGAGATACAATGGTTAATATGAACCATGTAAACTGCCATGTTTGCAGGACTTTTCATATTTACTCATACTCAAAATTCAAATATATATTTCAAATATAATTCATATCTTTGTAATGGCCAGAATGTGTAAAGTAACTTAGAAACTACTGTTCAAAAAAGTGGCTTCTGAGTTTTAAGTTTGTTTTCTTATGGACACATTTCAGGGAAAGGATGCTAATTGTTGAGGCCAAGTTAGTGTAAATAAAAAAAATATATCAATTAAGGTATATGATTCCGAACAAGGCAGAAATACTTGCATTTGGCACACAAGATGAATTCTGTATAACCCCCATCTCCTTTGTTCTGACTGCCATCTACTCTTCTAGCAGGAGCCATGCACCAGATACATCTGGGTGAGTTTACTTCATCCAGAGTCAGATATCAACTCTCCTAACCCGATGGGCAGGGATAAAAACTTACATCCACTAAATCTTGCTAGGGTTGCATTTCAGCTGGCTTCCCCCCATCCAAGATAATGTCAGTAGCTGCTATATTTAAAGGGAAACTTAATTTTTCCCAGAAGAACATGAAAATACTACTAGTCCTTCCTTATATAAGTACCAGATAGGATAGAGGAGGAGGATCCATTGTATTATACAAAGCTTCATTTAATGCCACTCATTTCTTGAAGTTGCAATTCTTGTGCAGTAAGAAGACAGAAAACTCCTACTCCTTAAAAGGGATTTATTTCCCAATTGTTACAGAAAAATACTTCTTCAGCTTTTAGAATTCAAGTGTGCTTTTATAAAGCAGCACTTTGGTTAATTAAATTTTTATTCTATGAATAAAAACATCCTGTACTTCTTACAATCAGGTTACAAGCATGCAAATTGCGACTTCAGAGGTGAAAAACCAGTTGTGCAATGTTATGTTTGAAATCGAAACTCAGATAATCCTCACCATTATAAGAACATAATTATTGTAAAGGCAAGCATCTTTGGCAAAGTGAAATTTGTTACATGTTTCTCTAGCTCTGAATGATAGTCAAGTGCTTAGCAAACCCAACCTTTAGTTGAATTTGCAAATGTAGCACACCTATGTATATTATAATTGTAACTGCACAATGAATTATTTATGGAAAGATGTAAAGAAAACATGATGATGTGACAAACTGATGAACTGGATGAGAAATTGCATTAGCATGTAAATAATGAAATTAAAAAATTGACAATATAAATACTTAGTCTGTTTCAACACTAATAAGTTTCTTCGCAAGTACATATTTTATTAGAAGTAAATCAGAAGATTGCCCGCTTCCATGCGAATTTAAAAGAAACTATTCCTATGATAATTGCATATTAAAATATTTTTTGCAATAATGAGAACTGGACAGTCACAGAACCAATTATTTATTGTTCATAAGACAATGGTATTTGTGATCCTAGTAAAACTATAAGTCAAGTCACTAGCCCCTATAAGGATTGAGAAATGATGATTGGATCAATGGAACATCTTATATACAGCAATTGATAGGCAGACATTCTTTCAGCACATGGCTGAATTTTAAATATTTGCAAACAGGTGTTTTCTCTAACTAGGAATAGGCAACTTGGTATGTTAGATATTTGTAAGCTACAATTCAGGCATGTCCTTATTGGCTATGTTGGCTGAGATTAATAAATACTGAAATAGAAGGGCCTATGAGATTGCCTATGGCTGCTTTCAACTGTTCACATCTGAACAACCTTATTTTCAGATCTTTCATTGCTCTTAAACTATACTATACATAAATATGAACAAATTTTCAATCTTGAATCTTTCTGACTATGGATATATAATAAAATATACTGTATTTTTCGGAATATAACGTTTTTCCCTCAAAAAAGAGGCTGAAAATTTGTGTGCATCTTATACACTGAATACAGCATTTTGGGTGCCCCGAAACCCTGCCCCCTTCACCAAAATGGGCGTGCATAGCCTTTAGGAGGCTTCCAGAGTGCTCCTAGGGGCTGGGGAGGGCTGGGAAATGAGCAAAAAATAGGCCTTTTTTGCTCAATTTTGCCCCTATAAGACTCTATAAGCCTCCTAAAGGCTATACATGCCCCTTTTTTGCTCATTTTTGGCCCCTCCATCCCCCAGGAGCACTCTACAAGCCTCCTAAAGGTTATTTAGGCCTTTAAAAAACGTGCCCATTTTCACAAAAAATGGACCATTTTTGGGAGGTCTGCAGAGTGCAAAAACTTTTTTAAAAAATGTGCCTCTTCAAAATCTTGGTGTGTCTTATACTCCAAAAAATACGGTAATTAATATAAACATTTCCCTGATTTGCATATTTGCATAGATTTTCTAGTCCAATGTTTCGCCAATGTACTTGCATATACTAAGATATATAAGTCTCTCTATTAAACATTTCTAGTGTCGCTCAGTAAATATCCTATGTTCTATGTAAATAGAACAATGAATGTATATGCCATATTTTAGAAACATGAATTATGTTTACTTCTTTGGTCATCCTCTTTTTAAGTTTGAGGATTTTTTCCCCCTGTAAAACAAATGGAAAAATAATCAATTTACAAAATCAGGGAATTATGAATGGTAACTCTGTTCCTGCTGAACATACAGAGTTTTGAAAAAAGATTTGTTACAACTTCTAACTTCTTTTAAAATAAACCAAGTTCATTAATTCTTTCATGCACTAAATCTAGTCATTTAAGACCTTTAATATTTGAAGAATGGTGTGTATATATTGCATTTAAAAGCAAGGATAGCTTATTAATATTATATAAAATATGACTATGTAAACTTGAAAAAAGAGCCTTGATTCAAAGACCAAAACACTTCTTTGAACTGAATCTTCAAATAGATTAAATAGTTTTTTAAAAAAGAAAAAAAAATTCCTTTGAATAGCTCTGGAAAGATTTGAAGTCTTTGGAGATTTGCAGACTTTTAGCTTTGTAGAGAGAGCTTGCAGATTTTCTTTCATATATAAACCAAGCTGGAGAGAGGGGTGATGTTAATGAGTTACCTGGTCAATGAATGTAATCACTGTCCCAAATATAGAAGTGGTACTCCCACAATATCATTCAATTGTTACTCACACAATCCCTCGATTTAGGTGGGATCAGGGGAAGATACTTGTTCTGTTTTTTCCTTTATTTTTGTTTTACATCTATGCTTTTTTACTTTTCTTTAATTCTGCTTTGCAGCATAGGTCCTTCTCATATCTGTATCTAATCCATAGCTCTTTTGTTTTGTCTTATTGATTCCCATTAATCATAACCATATTCAAGCTACTTATTTTGTTTTTGCCTGAGTAGGTAAATTTTCATGTCTTGGTGATATCCTTGAATTCATCTTAGACTATTCTGTTAACTTTTTTTCATAGCACAGTATATTATACACTGAATATAGACTGTATACACAGATATTTCTCAGACTGTGTTTTTTTTTTAAGTTTCTATGTATATAAGTACATGGAACAAGATATGTTATTTTCAGGAGGCGCTAACTTTGCCACTGAGTCAGCCAACAAATTTATAAAAAGAGCTTACATTTTATACTTTTTATATTGTTTCAACACAATTTCTCTAATGAATTTTGCTGGACAATTTTCAGGCTGTTGTATCTGTTTTAAGAGAAGTGCAGAAACATTTTAAAATTTCATTGCAGACCTAAATCTTAAAGATATCAGAATGAAATTTTTAATTAATATCCTTTAAAAGGTTCTATTCTCACATTCCTCCCAAAAAAGATAGCAGTTGTAGGCAATTTCATGTTTACCCATCATAAGCTATAGTTCAATATTTTATTACATAGACATATTTATTGGTCATCTGCCAAATTAGAGCATTGCTTCATGATAAATGGTCATAATTCAAATCTAAATGAAATTCTTGGAGGCATAGAATTATTTTTAAATCTATTTCACCAAATCATTAAGAATTGATCATACAGATAATCCATAGGTTGCACTGTACTAAAATTATATTCCATCAATTGTACACAATATTTCACAATGAATCCTGTTAGTTCCCATGTCATTTTGTATGTGCATTGATATAACATGAAAAAAATATTATTCAATGTCTGCTCCTAGATGCAATATATTAGCAAATCAGTATTTTTCTACCTTATTACATTAAGTGATTAATGTCTATTTAGACCCTTGAAAGTTTTAGGAACAATTATATTCACAACAGAGAATTAGCTTACCTGAGTGATTCTACCAAGATTTTCTTCTATATCCAACAACAGGTTTCCATTCTCCAGCTGTAATGGATGATTGATGAACATGAAAATGGATGATTTATGAAAAATGGCATACACTATTGGACACAGCAATGAGTTCAACTATTATTGATTTAACATCTGAGCAAAAGCCATCCCAATAGTTTTTATTAAAATGCTTTTGCTCAAGTTAATGATAACATTAGGTTGAATATGGGATTAAATTCATGCAAATGCAAGGAATTGAAAATGGAGCATGAACATGGAGAATTCAGAATGAATCCACAGTTCTTCTGTGGATATAACTTAAGATCACGTCTATTTATGCCACCCATCAGAAAAAAGATGGGATAGATGCAGAATGAGGTAGGTAGGTTAAGTAAGTAAGTAAGTAAGTAAGTAAGTAAGTAAGTAAGGTTCTCAGTCTGTTCCAGGAATGAATGGGAGTAACTGGTTTATCACATACAAGTTGAGAAAGGATAAAAATGGCCATGTTCTCTCTATATTATGCTCATACTACTTGTGCTTTTCATAGGCATCCTTTACTTTTTTTTCTCAAAGGATAAAAGGATATGTGAGAAAAATAAACCCTGCGGTTGGAGAAATTATAATGACTTCATTTAATACTAAATAGATATTTATTCTTTAATTGTGCTTCCATGATGCCTTTTGTTCTTCTGACATGTTCATAGAAATAGCAGTAGCACTTAAACTTATATACCACTTCATAGTGCTTTATAGTTCTAAGCGGTTTACAGAGTCAGTGTATTGTCCTCAATAATCTGGGTCCTCATTTTACTGACCTCGGAAGGATGAAAGGCTAAGTCAACCTTGAGCTGATTAGAATTGAAGTACTGGCAGTGAGCAGAGTCAGCCTGCAATACTGCATTCCAGCCACTGCGCTACCACGGCTCATTCCATCTCCCCCCTCCAATATGGCTTCCTTTATTACATATTGCTTCTATCATTGACTGTAATATACCCTTATTATAATCAATCTGGTACCTCATTAATACATAGTAATCACAATTTATTGTTAAAGAAACATCATTTTGCATGGGGATAGCTGTTGCTTTGTAATATTTTCAAGTAGCTCTTTTGAATTTAATAGGGAAGAGATAAACAACTGGACATAAATACATATTTTTCTCCTGACTATTCTAGAGTGAACCCAGCCATTGCTATCTGGATCTCATTAAAAGTATCACACATAGGTCTTTGGTACACCAAGATGATTTATTACATGAAACATTTCCCCAAATCATTTTATACAATGATAGCAGTATGATATGAAATCTGATTTTTTTAAAAATACAATTTAACTAAATTATTCAGCAAGACTTTTCAAAATGTATATGGTCCATTTTGAAATTCTGAAAGTTCAGAAATTCTGAGTTTTAATTAGAATATCAAATTCTGAATAGTAATTAAGAATCATAATTAGAATTCAGAATAGTAAAAGATAAAAGGAGAGAGTAGAATATAGGTTTTTAACCAAAGGTTTAATCAAACAAAGACAGATCATTTGGGAGAAGGAATTTCAGTTAATTCTGAATGACTGTTAAATCTGAATTGACATTATTTGTATCAATGTATTTTATCAATTTGTACCATTTGTACCATTTACGCCATTATAAAATTGAAGGTTTTAAGGCAACTGTATCAATTTATATCATTTGCTTCATCACACAAAATATATTCATAAATGCAACAACACAAGTACATTAGTTATGAATAGCATAAACTAATACAATTATGTTAATTGTCTGGACTATTTCAGAAACAGCAGACATTCTTTAGGTATTCAATTTGAACTAATTGTAGTTTGTTGTATCTGAAGTCTGCTAAATTTGGAAAATTAAGGCTAGAAGACCTCCAAGCTCCCTTCCAACTCTATTATTCTGTTATGATGTTTACTTTGGTGAACAGGTATGAATTTGTGGGATAAGTATTCTTTTAAAACTAGTAGGCTAGCCAAGTCCAGGATGTCTTTATACATTAACATTAACACACTGAATTGGGATAGAAAATTAACTTGAGACAATGGAAATTATAAACTAAAACTGGCATAAAGCTGCTTCTGTTTGGATCAGATCTACAGGAATCTATAGTCGTGTGTCACCTAGGACTTTATTTATTTACAGTATTTTATAGACTTCCCCAATCCTGCAAGACTCCAGTAGGTCACAGAAAAGCCAACATAAAATAACTGAAGCAGTATTTAAAAAAAGCTCACAAATCAACTAAGATTACTGACACCCACAATCAATTCAAGCTAGTAGAGCACTGGGAAGCAGTTTTTGCAGTCTTGTGTAATTCATAGTGAGATGGAGTCAAGTACAACTTTAAGATGTGGCTTAATTTTGGCTGGGGTCTATAAACCCACTTTGCAAGCTTATTTTGAGGAACGTAGGGAGAGGAGTATTATGTATTCTGGTTTTTGCCCTTGAATTTTATTTTGAAAAATAAAATTATAAATATAAACTATTCTTTTATCCTTATGAATTTCTCAGATTTGCCCCCTTTTTCTGGTTTATTCTTTCTTTTTGCAAGACAAGATGGTCACTGTATATGTATCTAATATATGGTGGATTGAAAATATATGACACACTGTAGACCCATGATGGTGAACCTTGGCACCCATGCCACTCGTGGCACGCGGAGCTATTTCTGAGGGAACGCGGGCATTGCCCTGTCAGCTCCAGTGCGCATGCTGGCCAGCTGATTTCCAGCCTTGATTTTTGTTCCCAAACTTCTGGTTTGCATGTTGGGCTGTTTTTGCCATCCCCAGGCTCCTAGAAAGGCTCTGGAGCCTGGGGAGGGCAAAAAATGGGCCATTTCCGGCCTCTGTAGGGCCTCCGGGGGTGGGTGGGTGGCAGGGGTAGGTTTCTCGCCCCGTTCCAACCGGTTCGGTTGGAACGAGGCCGGCGGCGTCCTCGTGCACGCACGTGCCACGCGCATGCGTACTAGCATCTGCGCGATGCTCCAGCTGCTCCTGGAGGATCGCGCAGGCGCTGTATGCGAACCAGTCGAAACCCACCCCTGGTGGGTGGTGGCAGTTTTCACCCTCCCCAGGCTCCAAGAAAGCCGTGCGCACATGCATGAGGGTGGGGTCATGCATGCATGCTCAGGGGGCATTAAATTATGGAGGTGGGCACAGGTGCGCATGCAATAGCATGCACGTGTGTGCTTTTGGCACCCAAGGTGAAAAGGGTTCACCATCCCTGCAGTAGACTCTCTCTAGAAGTTTGAATTATATAGGCAAATTCAATATTGCCAAGGTGTTGCCTGATATATCCTGGCTATTCTTGAAAGATACCTAGAACCAGTGCAGCAAGCATAAAATAAATATTATTCTCCACTGGCAGTAATCTGGCCATCATTTTCTGTAGCAGTTGCAGCTTCCAAGTCCTTTCTAAAGGCAGTCCCATGGAGAATATGATACTAGCTCAGTTGTAATTTGGGTATCTATTACAATCACCAGAGCAACTGGCTGAGATAAGCTTACAATTACCCTCTTTTTCAAAGACTTTCCTACTGATTTATACCAGTAATAAGGAAGTAAAAAGAATAATATGTCAGTGCAATTAAAATACTAAGTGATGTAAAGATAGAAACTATACCTAATTTGAAAGAAACAGGAAACTGAAGAGACATTAATACCATTGCTTGGGCTCAAATCACAATCATTTGCCAAATCTAAAATAAAGTTCTGCTAAAATAAACAGAATTTATTTTTATTCCTTCCCTTTTGAACAACACTTTTTTGTTTTGTCCCTATTCTTCTTACTCCCATGCTGTCTCACAGAGCATCCTCACCTGTGTCAATGGAACTGATTGCTATTTTGAAGATGTCCCAGGAAGCACAATAGCCTAACTAGGGAGGAACATTGTGCAGAGTTCAACAAAGCATTATCAACAGCAAGGCAAGAGCTCCCAGAAAACAGTTGCTCAGCCTGTTACTGCATGTCCCGAGGGTCTAATTATCAAGTAGCCCTTGGGCTGCGTCTTCCATAAGTTCTTGTTCTGCATCACTTGCTGCCGAGGAAACACTTCCTATGGGTGAACCATTAGTGTCTATTAGACCATGGACATGTCTTCAGTTGAGATTTTGCTGGCCCACACTGCACCAACTGGGGGCAAATATTTGCTCCAATCTGTCTCTACCTTTTGACATTTCAATAGAAAAGATTTTGCCAATTAGAGCAAACAATCTTACTCACAGCACCCTGTGTGAAACTATGAGAAGATATGTGATTGAAGGATCCTTCTATGGGTTCCTTATGTGAGAGTATAATTTTTAATCTCTTGGCAATATATCTCACATAGATAAAAATATATACAAATTAAGCTGATAATTAAGTCTGTAAAGAATATGTGACCAAGATACAACTGCCTGAAATAGAAGCCCTGCTAATAAACTTTGAACCTTTCTGTATCAGCATATCAGAAATAAATATTTTATGTATTGTAAAAGATGTATGTGTCTCAGTGGGTAGTTGTTGCGTTTAAATTTTCCTGTATAAGCATGTAAGAAATAAATATTCTTATTTATTCTCATTGATGTATAGGTGTCTCAGTGGGTAGATGTTTTGTGTTGTAGGCAAAGTATCTTTGTCCTCGACTTTGTGTGTCATGCTAAAATGTTGAGGACATCTTTGCATTAAAATATATAAGATGTCTTTATTAAAATACAGACATTTTATTTTTGTGTCTCTAGTGGAGTCATTAAAACAGTAAAAGACCAAGAACTACCACTACAAAACAGCAGTAGTATTAATTTTTCAAAAGAAACGAGAATCCCCAGTAGGCTACTAATGATGTTACTAGGGTATATTAATTAGTTAAGGCCCAATTTAAATTTGATTACTGGATCTGGCAAGAATGAATTTGAATGTGAGATTTATAAAGAAAAAATGATTCAAACCAATTTTGAGATCTGATGAAACAGGCTTATAATGGGAAGCATATAAACGCTTCAACTACTGTACTTTATTTTTATTGTATTGTACTATATTTTTCGATAGAATAGGCTAGGTTTA